AAATTTTATGAACAAAATTATGACAGACATCATAATAGTTTTGACAATTCTTCTTTCCTCATAAAACAGATTCCATATAAAGTAACTGTATCAGACTGATCCAAGTACCCCCTGTCAGGAAAGCTGCTTTATACAAATTATAATATCATGAAAATATTTTCACAATCCTCTTTCATAGTTACTAATTGTTCTCCTTGCTTTCATGGTTCATACCACTCATACCATATATATATATATATTTGAGTATTAAGCAATTGAGTTTACTACATATATAGTAATATATAATTAAGTATTAATCAATAGAGTTTACTAAATATATAGTAATATACAATTGAGTTTACTAAATATACAAGTATTAAATAATTGAGTTGATAAAAGTATTAAATGATTGATAATATTAAATATAGGAGTATTAAGTAATTGAGTAAACTAAAGATATAAGAATAAATGATTAAGTTTATGGAATATATATGAGTATTTTAAAACCGAGTTGACTAAATATATAAGTATTAAGTATACTTAATATATAATAATTAATTAATTGGGTTTACTAGATATATAAGTATTAAATGATTGAATTACTGAATATATAAGTATGAAATAATTGAGTTAACTAAATATTTAAGTATTAAATTATTGAGTTAACTAAATATATAAGTGTTAAATAATTGACTTGACTAAATATATAAGTATTAAATGATTGAGTTGACTAAATATACAAGTATTAAATGATTGAGTATACTTAATATATAATAATTAATTGGGTTTACTAAATATATAAGTATTAAATGATTGAATTACTGAATATATAAGTGTTAAATAATTGAGTTGACTAAATATATAAGTATTAAATGATTGAGTTGACTAAATATATAAGTATTAAATGATTGAGTTGACTAAATATATAAGTATTAAATAATTGAGTTAACTAAATATATAAGTATTAATTAATTGGATTTGCTAAATATATAAGTATTAAATGATTGAATTACTGAATATAAGTATTGAATAATTGAGTTAACTAAATATATAAGTGTTAAATAATTGAGTTGACTAAATATATAAGTATTAAATGATTGGGTTTACTAAATATATTAGTATTAAATGATTGGGTATAAGTATTAAATAATTGAGTTAACTAAATATATAAGAATTAAATAATTGAGTTAACTAAACTTATAAGTGTTACATAATTGAGGTAACTAATTATATAAGTATTAAATGATTGAGTTGACTAAATATATAAGTATTAAATGATTGAGTTGACTAAATATATTTATTTATTAAATGAGAATATGTACTTTTATCTTTACAGATATTTGAAAATAACAAAGTTTACCAATACATCAACCAAATGGATACATCTTGTAGTAATTGGATGAGTTATGTTAACATGGCATATAACCTCCTACAGAATTTAATAGCTTGTCAAATCGATTACAATATTTATTTCTATACAACCAAATCTATACCACCTAATACAGAATTATTGGTCTGGTATAGTAAAGAATATTCAGAAAGAATAAATAGTCAACCACTGCATGAAGATATGTTACATACTTGGAGTAAGTATATGATACATTTATAGCTTTTATTATTAGAGAAATATGACACAGAAACACTGGACATGGCACCAGAAAATTCAGAAAGAGTCAAATTGCCAAACAGCTACTTACATAGCATTGTCTCAAAAATATTGGTTATTTGATTTGATTTTTATATATCTCTCATGTATGTAGTTGACTGATATTGACTTTAACTAGTATCAATGGAATCAAAGGAACATTTCGAGACAATAAGATGATAGAACAATTTTATTGTCTTCATGGATAATTTTGAAATAATTTATGATATGATGATTTAATAATGATTCTATTTATCTTATTTGATATATCAAGTGGTTATATTAATAATATGATATCAAATTCAGTCTAAGAAAAGTAATGAAGGTATTCCTATCTCAATGACTATTTGGCACCATGACATGTTAATTTGCAGGAATTAAAGAAACTATTAAGATGTAATAGGAAATAAATGTAATTAATGATAGGATGTGTAGAAAATATAAAATTTCTTAAAACAACTTGTTATCATCTTATTGCGGAAGTACGCCAAATCATTTACAAAATCACTAACAAGTTTTCTGGCATGTGTTCGTCGTCTTACGGGAATTTTTAGTGATATTGAAAGTTATATCATATTTTGGAAATATGTTAAATTGAACATATTTCAACGTTTAATCTAAAGATGGTGTAAATCATTTAACATTCTGGCAACACTTTATCATTATTAGCCTATATCACTGTTAAATGGTGAGCAAAAGTTATCAATTTTTATCTCTAAAAAAACATCTATTTCCTCTGACGGAGCCTTTAGTTAAACAACCTTTTGACTCCAAACTTCTACCTAGAGACAACATTATGACAACTGTAACCATTCCTGTGGTTATAGAGATAGCTCCAGTTTAGATATATATACTTAAAATGAGTACATATAGATAGTCAAATTTTAATGGTTTATCACTCAAACTGAAATTCATTCATATATTTATAAATGAAAAGGAAAGAAAACTACCCACACTTAAAGACTTGAAACATGATATTCTTGATAATTTCACTTTATCAGAAAACTGGAATTTCACTGTGTATATTGAATTAAAGATAGAAAAATATTATCTCCCCTGTTTTCTTGATTTTTTAAAAACATTTGGCACTATTTTGCTATTGAATAGAATGAAAATCATAATTATTTCTTGTATAAATTAATATTCACACTTTATACCAATTTTGGGTTTCAGTGTACATTTTGTTGAAACATTTCATCTTTGCTAATTTCTTTTTTTTTAAGAAACATTTGGCACTTTTTTTCCATTGAATAGAATAAAAATCATAATTGTTTCTATTAATGTAAATTATGATGACAGTAATGTACATTATACAGACAATGGCCTGTCCCTTTAACATCTTCTTCAAACTTCTTATAGTTATAAAATGCAAATTGTCAACCTTGAGTTGTAAAAAAGGTTCATGTCCCTTTTAAATAAAGTATGGTCAAATGGCCATATTGGTAGTGTTTATGAGAGTCACTAAGAAGTGTAATAACCTTCTAAAGTAATTAGACTCTTTAAGCAGGAAATTGTTTCTAATCATGCTTACAAGTATATAAGAGTCTAGTGCAATAACATTTCAGCTTTTGACCCTTGAAACCATACGCACAACAATACTAGAAAACAATCATTCTGACATAAAATAACAATAAAACACTTGAGGTAGTGTGACTGTCGTTAAGTGAAGAGGAAAATGGCCGTGTTATAATCAATTATAGTATTTGACTATTCTTTAAAGATGTGTATAATGTCCAGGTGTAAATCAATTCTGATTGGCCAGCTGTCTTCATTCATGTTCTGGTCAGTTATTGGCTGTTTTTATCTTGACCACACCATAGAGTAAATCTCACGCATCTCATTTGATATTCTGACAATATTCTAATGATATTTCTATTGTTAACAATTTGTGTACAATGATGAGAAGACATCTTTCTCCCTAGGGGGTGTCATTCAAATTCACATGTTAAATTACTTGTTTAGACATATTTGTTAGAAAGTGTTTAACGTCTCTAACGTGAATGATACTTCAGTTAGGATGTTACAAAATATTGATACAGTAGAAAGTTAATATACATACACTTTGACTTGTGAACTATCTTGTGGATTATGTCTCATTCTTTACTACAAATCATGTTTTTAAGAGGTAAAAATATTTATTTTGGATTTTCATAATAATATTATTATTTATAGATGGTCATAATAAGATACATCACATATTTACATAAGTTTTATAATAGCTTCATGTTACTATTATAAAAAGGTTTAAATGAATATTGCTTGGTCTTTGGTCTTCAACTAACAGGATAGGGTTAAATAAATTCTTAAAGTGAAACTTTGTTTAAAATTGAAGAAGCTTTGATGAAATTGGTTGCTATATTGAAATTATTTTGACATTTATGGTGGTTAATCAAAACAGCTGCAATGGAAGATTTTTTTTTTCAAATTGTGTAAATTGGTTATTCTGTCTATTTTTTCAGAACGGCAATTATTTAATGGATCAATACCTCAACAAGTCTTACCATTACCAAACTCCAGTCGTTCCTGTTTCTCAGATCCATTGGGGTTACCAAAGTTACCATTACCATCCCTACCTAAACCAAATAAACAGCATAATACAGATGATAGTCACGTTATAGATTATAGTTTACATCGTCGCGATGTCAGTCCTTCTAGTGATGAAAGTCAACTGGATAAATCCAAACTATCAGATATCAAACCCTTTTCACCAACTGATCATTCACCTTTTTTACCAAAACACAATACCAGTCATAGTCCTGTTCAGTTACAGAGTCCACCTAAAGCTCACCAACAATTAGATAACAAGCCAGTTCACAGTACACCAAAGAGAAACTCTGGTATTATAGAGAATTTATTATTAAAGAAGATGATAGAAAATGGTGAAGAGATCAGTGAGAAGATGTTAAAAGGAGATGAGATATCAAGATTACCGTCTCCACCAAATAAAATAAATAAACATCATTTAGAGAAATCAGACCAACTACCAGCATTACCTCCACTACCATTTAAACATAATCCATTTCTACCTAATAATTTATTATTTGATAGATCACCTTTCTATCCATCAACACCATTATCACAGATTAAAACAGAAGATCCCTCCTCAAAACTCAGTTCAAATCCTTTGTTCTATCCGTCTCCAGCATTAACAGGATTCTATCCATTCAGTCCATTATATCCATTTCCACAGTTTCCAGCCATATCATCCTGGTCCATGTTTCCACCACCTCCACCTCCGATCTTCCCTTCATCACCACCAACACCATTAATATCAACCTACAAACATAGCTTGAATCCTGAATCCAGTGTCTCAAATAAATCCAAACATGACCAGAATAGTTATATGAGAGGATTTAGAACTCTTCCGTTTCCACTACGCAAGAAAGATGGTAAAATGCATTATGAATGTAATGTGTGCTACAAAACGTTTGGACAGCTCTCTAATTTGAAAGTGCATTTAAGAACCCATACTGGAGAGCGACCTTTTGTTTGCCAGGTAAATATATTTTAATTGTCAATTGATAGAATTTGATTGGTTGTATGATATTTTAAATATGAACAATTTCAAGAATGATTTTTGATTCAAATCTTTTGAGTCGCTCTGAAAATGACCCCATGGAAGTTAAAAAACAATTCATCAAAAGATATCTGTTGTATTAATATATTATTTTCTCTATTTTTCAGACTTGTGGTAAAGGATTCACCCAATTAGCTCATCTTCAGAAACATAACTTAGTTCATACAGGAGAGAAACCTCATGAATGTATGGTTTGTTACAAACGCTTTAGTTCAACAAGTAACTTAAAGACACATATGAGATTACATAGTGGAGAGAAACCTTTTCACTGTAAACTTTGTCCAGCTAAATTTACTCAGTTTGTTCATTTAAAACTTCATCGTAGACTACATACAAATGAAAGACCTTATGAATGTCCACAATGTAATCGTAAATATATTAGTGCTAGTGGTCTGAAAACTCATTGGAAGACTGGAAATTGTGTTCCTTCTGGTTCAGTAACAGATTTTAACATGTTATTAGAACATACACTGAAGGATTTTGATGGTGGAAGTGATCAAGTTCATTATGATGAACCTATAAATGATAAACAAGGCAGTGCTGGTAATAGTGTTAATAATAGTAACAGTACTGCTAGTAATCATAGTGATGATGAGAAAGATGATCTATCTCCACTTGATGTCATAAATGATGATGATGATGATGAAATGGAGGATGAAGATATTGTGGATGATGAAGAATCCATGATGAATGAAGAAGATGAAGAAGAATCTAGTTATTTAAATGAAGAATGTGAGGTCAATAGAGACCAAAGATTAAATTCTTCACCAGTATCATCAATACCATCTCAATCTGAATCTCTCCCACCACATTCTACTGATCATAATCATGATAACTCTACAGTATCTTCATCACAAATAGATAATCATGATTTGAATGAAAAACTACAAAATAATTATCAAACTGATTGTAAAGCTCCTTCTGCTTTTCAAAAAATTGAAAAATTAATTTGTTAAGTTTGTTTACCGGTAGTCCATTGTTAGTGCTACAATGCAATGTTAAGTAATAAATTTTTAATTGGATTAAGATATAAATTCATATCTTAATATTCAATAAGGGCATAATGATAAAATATGTTTTATATTATAATATAATTTATTTGTGACAACTGTTTAAAATATATAGTTTTCTATTGCATCAGGATACTTATTGCATTTAGTTTGTACATAATCAAATCAAAATTCGTTTGAAAGTTTGATAGCGTGTGTGGTTTGTATTTGATTTCCTTTTTTTGCAGCTATCATTTGTTTCAAAACAAAATTTAGTTACATGCCTTATTAATAATTTTTTTGTACTTTGTGCATTTATTTTTAGTGTGTATTTTTTATAACTTTTGTGCCATATTTTATTGTACTGCTGAGTGCTTTTTTATTTTCTCGCTTTTTATAAACAAATTAGAAATCCAATCTGACCAAAGTTTATGAATATTGTCCATAATTTGAGAGATCCAATGATTAATTAATTTTGAACTTAGTAGTATTTATAGCAACTGTCACAAAAATAATCTTTCAAATAATTGATTGTTTTAACCAAAGAAACTAAAAACCAAACTAATGTTAATAGTAATATGTTGGTCAGCTATGAATAGTTGTGTTTGATATTTGATATCATAGTATTGTATATAGTGTGGATATTCAATATTGATAAATAGAATATTTTGTGATTTATATCCGTCCTTTCAGTTTATCCAATTTTATATTTTTATATTAATAAACAGGTCTCAATTCTTCAACTTAAATATTATATACTTAAAAATAACAGAAATATGGTAGGATAAAATGAAATTGTTTTTTTATATCAATAAACAATCCACAATTTTCAATTAAAATATAATATCCTTTAACAATAACTTAAATATGGTATTATAAAATGAAATGGTTTGTTATATTAAATAACAGGTCTCCATATTCAACCAAAGTGTAATATTCTGAAAAAAACCGTGAACATGAAGAAATAAACTTGTTTTTTGTAAGAATCATAATTTTAAATTCTAAAATTCTGAAATTCTGATAGGTTGATAGATCTTTTTGTACTTAGTATTTTGACCAATCAGATTCCTAAAATGCCAATCCAGATTATTCTAGATGAGGTAACTGAAGTTACTTTCTAAATGTTTCTGGCAGCAATAATGTTCATCACTGTTATTTAAAGAATACTTTACTAATATGTATATGCTTTAAATATATAAAAGGCCTAATTTTTAAGATACTTCTGTAAAATTTGGTCATTTTTCTGAAACTCAAATATTGTATATCTAATGTTTTATGTAGTATCTACAGAAAGGGACCATACAAATTTTGCTCAATATATTGGAACTATTTATATTGTGTGCAATGAATTCTATATATATTTGACTAATACCCATTTAACTTACTCAATACTAGGTTGCGTGTTAAGTGTTTACTATAAACCTATCATGAGGTCTCCATTACTATGACATTTGTTGTTTTTTATACTTGTATATATCAATTGTTTTCTTGTTTTGTTTTGAAAATGAAAAATACAGAAATATCAACTTTGTTGTCTTATTCAGTTTTTTGGTGAAACACCTTAAAGGAATATGATCCCAGAGTGGACATAAAATTTAAAGTCCCAAACTTGGTCAACAAGTGTATATTATATATATACATCTATTGGGCTTACCAGGTGCCAGGACTAAAGAATAGAATCTCTATATAAGACAATGTATTTATTAACAAATATTTAGTTTTATTAGATTATTGAGTGGTTCTCTTCTGTCTAGTTGTGGCACTAGGTAAGTTTACAGATAAACAAAGATTCATTACTTCAGAGGAAGTATACCTTTAAACTACTAATAATGTACCAAAGATGTTGGTGTCACATAATGGTGCATATAACTGATTGCTACTTTACGCACAACCAACGAGCTTCTTTCTGGTTACAGAAAACTACTCAATTTCGCATCAAATGCCTTTCCCCAGTCCTGTATGAGAGTCTATATATATGCGTCAGAAAACACCATGTATATTTTTATTTTTCTAGAAACTTAGACGTTTATACATTTACCTAGTATATAGTTACAATGATAACAAAAGCATTTTATAAACTCATTGAATTATATATCCTTTCTCAAATTGTGTGAAAGGAAATATAAGACAGCATTTCACTTGATGAATTTCTCATTTTAATTCAAAAACAAATTTAAACCAATTACAACCGTATACTTGTGCTTTAAATTCTGCTGAGTGAACCGTTTAAATGAGACCCAGACCATCCAAATTCAACGGATTTCCATTAAAAGAAATGTCTAATCGATTATTAGTTGGCTGGCAGGTAACCCAGGGCTAATATTATGTAAATAGATGCAATAATCATCTTCAAACTCCCCTTAGACTAAAATTCTTGAGCGAGCACATTCTTTTTGTGCTACTTCATCCTTCATTCCTGTTACAGAAGCTGTATAGAAGTGCGGCCTGAATTTCATGAATTCGATTAGTCGAATCTAGATTATACACCCACTTATTTTCTTGCATGATACTCGAAGCAGGTGACTTGCGATACTTAACATTATTGAACACTGCTTTAGGTGAAGGTATAGGTTTGCAGGAAGAGGACAGTGTAAGAAATTTAGTACATGATATCAGGTGGACAAAATATTAACTCTCATCACGATAAATTTAATCTTTTCAAACTTAAAAAGGTCTGCTAACCACAGGGTTTCTCTGAGACTTGAAACAAGGGTTTTCTCCATTTTGTTCTCTATCCATGCGACAATGCGTAAACCTGCAATTTACAAACTTTTCTTCCAAAGCTATGTATTATGTTTCTATTGTCAACCATACCATACATTGTCATGAAAGTAAGTGGGATTCGATTTGTATGTCAGTTTCGTGCCTCTCCCAATTATATTAGGCCATGAATGTAAAAAATGCATAAATCAGTCAGAGTGTATTCTTAATGAATTTGATCTCATTTTAGATCATTATGGAACAACTACATTAAACAATCGTATAATTATGTTTAGAAATTTTTTAAACTTTGAATGTCTATTTTGTGAAAATTGTGTATTTGTTTTGTAAAATGATTAAAAGGTCAGGTAACCAAGTAAAGATTTTGAATAAAACAATGTACATGTACAAATTAGAAGTTTCCACATCTTTGAAAATTGCTTTGCCCATGTTATTTCTTTTAGAGTGTTTTTTTAAAAAGCGATGAATTTCGTCAGACTCGAGAAATTTTTTTAGCCCTAAGGCTGAATTTTCACATGACTAAGCACATTCTGTAATATATTACCAATTTTATGCTTAATAATTCTTAATAGATCTGAAAGTGTTTTCAGTTTTTTTCTTTCTATACACTAGATAACACAAACTTGCACTCCTTGGATTTTAATTAATTTCATACATAGGGCCTACTGAATATAAAGTTGAAGTTTTATTTGGATATTTGATAATGATAACATCGATTATAAGAGTGGAACGCTCTTGTTATACCATTTAAAACCTTTTTGTATTAATGTGATAACAGCATGGTGCGACTAGTCAATAGTAAAAGAAGTTAGCTGGTAATAGGTGAAAGGTACACCCGAAATCTCTGCAGGAATCTTGTCATGCCATTTATCTCTTTGTAACTGTATTTTATCCTTCATGTCAACTGCATATTGGTAAAGTAAAAAGAAAATGTAGTGTGTAAGAAGGTCTTTTCTGACACCTGTATAAATTGCTCATAATAAAAGGTGCCAATAGACATCATGAAGTTATCAAGCCGTGTACTCAACATGTGTTCTAACATAATGTGTAAAAACCGAAGTTAAAAAGAACGTTAATGTAATACTATTTTGTATCTCAAAATGCATACACAGAGAATTTTAAATCTTAATCATGTCGCCAGATCGTTTTTAAGAAACCATTAATTATATTATGCTGTTTCATTAAAAGTCAAGGCTGTCGACCTCATACGGATAGATTTGGACTTTCTTTTTAACAGGGCAGCGTGCAGCATTTATCTTGAAATGACTCTAATGTCCTTCATTTTCTTTCCTTATGTGTAGTATCATCTTCACAATGTTAAGCTATATTACGAAGTTTGTTTATACCTTGACTACAATAGCCACATTTCTTGCATCAAGGAATGCAGCGATTTGATTGGATTGTATACAAGCGAATACAGCCAATAAGAGCCCTCCAAAGAAAAACTGGAAACGTTATGGCTTATAGTGTTTACAGGGTTTCTGTCGAGGCCTCTGATTAGCTGTATTCGCTAGCGTACACTCCAGTTAAATCGCTGCATTTATATAGGCTACAAACATGTGTGATACAAGAAATGTGGCTATTGCAGTCAAGGTATAAGACGATTTGAAGATGGTGTAGTAAATGTTAGAATGTGTCTTATTCCATATAAACGGTATACGCTATACGAACTCTCAGAAATGGATGCCAAAACATACAGTAGCAATGCC